TATACATAAGGTCATAAGAAAGTATGGTATATAATATAAATAATAAGAATGATGTATGTGTAATATAAAGAGAGTGAACATATATTGAAAAAAGATTACACATGTATAAAGAAGCATGTATATAGTAAATAAAATAGTTGATACATATCAAATTATAAAATAATACAACATCTGGGCACAAACTAAAATATAAGTATCAGTCAACATAGTTTAATAGCAAAGAAGTCAACAACAAGTATACAATCATAGAAAAACAGAATATCAACATGATATTATTTATATAGTATCATAAGACAACACATCACAGTGTTAAAACATAATCAATAACACAGAATTGGTAAAATATAACAAACATATAACATTCAAAATATGATATATGATATAAATACATGATTCAAAAGTTGTCAATCACTAAAATATATGATAAAGCATATCAACTAAATAATAAAAATAATAAAAGAAAAGCATAAAAGAAATAAAAGACAAAATATAAGTCACTCATACGTAAACAAATGATAAATATGATAAAATAAAAAACATAAAAACACAATACAATTAACAGGTGAATTATATACCAGCGAAAGCAAAAGAAATATTTAAAGAGTATGTAACCAAAACAAAATAGTAAAGAATCAAACATATATATAGTTTAGATAAATATAAGAGACAACATAAGAGACATGTAAATAGTCATAAAATATTATATGATAAAAATAGACGTAAGAGTATGCAGGCGATTCAAAATAGACATATTATATAAGACATAATAAGGACATAATCATATATGTATTCGACAAACAATATAATAAACCAAAAATATTAGTAATATTCATAAGGTAAAATAATAAATATAAACAAGATACATCAATAATAATTATCATTATATAAAATCAATTCAGACATAGTAGTATATTGTATAGTAGTCAAAAATCACATAAATACAATTAGCATAAATATATATAAATTAAAATGTATAATACATAAAACATGAACTGTGGAAGATAAAATAGATTTATAAACAAATGAAAACATAAGTAGGGCATAAATTCGTATAATAAAAATACCTAGATATTGTAAATAAACATACCATGAATGATTGATGAACATGTGAACATAAACACTGATAATACATGAAACAGAACACGATTAGACAAAGTTGATACTAGAAATTATGAATGACTATAAATCAATAAAAAATATACATCATAAATATAATAATATATGTAAATACACTATAATTAAAAAGAGAATAGTAAATATAAAATAATAAAAAAATAAAACACAACACAAGTAAACAAAAATAATGAATAGAGAATGAACAACTAATAACACAATAAAAGACGTAAAAATCTAAAAATACCATAAAATAAGTACTGAAAAATAACACGCGTATACAATGTATATTTCCACAATGACAAAACAATACATATCGAAAACGAAGCAAACAAACAACAAATATGCAAATACACTATAAACAAACTATGAATAGATACTATACATACCCACAAATGCTATTTAGAATAACCTCTTATATTAATTATAAAAGGATAATAATTAATGTAACAAAATAACTATATAATTAGTAACTCAACTCTAAACATAGCAATATAAATAATACCTGAATAACAAAATAGAAATACATCACTCTTAGAAATAATGAAAACAATGTGAACATACTAAAATAACCTAAACAAGACAAAACTAGCATAAGAAACCATGTACTGAAAATGTAAATGATAGGAATATACTGCATATGTAGAATATTAAAATCATGAACTTATTAAAAATATGAACAATATATATTAATCTATAACATAAGTAAATGACAAATGGCATGACAGAAAAAGTGCACACATACACCATATAGATATGCCAAAGTAATACAAGAAAATAATCTGAATATCAGATATGCTATGTAATGTATATGTGGAGTCTAGAGCAATACAAAACACTTAATAACATGATTTGAAAAATTGAAAATATATAAGTAATGGTATATATTTTTAATGAAAAACACACAATAAAACACTATGTATGATACATAAAATAATGTAATAAATAATACAAAAATTAATACTGTAACATTCCAAATTTTTTTTCCTTTCATTGATCGGATACCGTTACCGATACCAATCCATATTTTAGTAGATGCTTTTCTTCATTGCATCTCATATAATCTTCTAGTATGAGAATTTAACTTAGCTAATTCTCATATTGTGATCTAGTTAACTAAGTCATAGCATGCATACAAACTTAGCATGTAAACCTAAGTTAACCATGCTTTAAACCTTGATTAGAGATAACCAAATCATTAAATACCTAATGTGAAACTCTCTAATTAACATAGTTATTATATTTGTTCAGCCATGTTAGTGGGGGAAATTTTGCATAAAACCCCTCAACTTTGGCCAAATTGAGGATTTCTCTTCACATGGGCTTATATATATGTGCCCTCCACCTCTCACTTTGCCATTTAAGAAGAAAAATCTCTTAAAAATCTCCTCCCTCTCCTCTGAACGTCTCCAGCACCTCTCCTCTTGAAAAAAAAAAATAAAAGATTTCCAAAAGCTTTCATCTCTCAAGAACATTGAAGAAGAAGGAGTGGAGAAAGAAGGTAGTTGAGGGCTTTGGTGGAGGAAGTGGGGCAAAGTCAAAACCCTAGGTAAAACTCTCAGTTGCATGTTGTTATTAAGGATGTTAGAACTGAATTATATAGTTAATTTGGATTTAGTCTTGCATGTAACATTTTAGGGCATGCATGTCAATTTATCTTGAAACAGAAATTTCGTGCAGAAATTTCCAGCAAGATACACTACCACTAAACAGATCATAACTTTCTTTGTATATATCCAAATGAAGAAATTCTTTCTGTTATAAAAACTAGACTTTCTCTTGTTTGTTTAATTCTAAGATCATTTACTAGTTTAAAAGTATGGTTTAACTCAGTGCATGTGTCTGAAACTGTCTGCTTGAGTCATGTCCTTTGTAAAGAGCATATATCTCAACATATACCATGCATGCATGAAATTCTTTCTATTTCTAAAACTAGACTCAATTGTATTTCTGTTGATAGGGTTTTGAATTAATTTTAATAACGTTTGGTAGGCCTAAACCTAGTTCTAATAGCTAGCGTATGTGCTGGAAATTCCAGTCTACCCCCCTGTGTTGTTTTGCATGTAACATGCATTTTAAAAATGCAAAATTGATGAAACTCATGGGACATGGAAGCTAATCCATAATATTACTTACATACCAAGTATGAGCTCTTTGGGATATAGTTAAGTACCCGAAATAAATTATTCATCCCAAATGATGATCTCTGTTTTTCTGCTACAGTTTTGATAGGTGTAGTTTTCTGAGAGCATGACTCTTACTATACACCATGCATTGATGTAAAAGTTTTATATTCTGAAATTAAACTCATAATGGAGTCATTTGAGACTAGTTTCATATATTTTGGATATCAATTACTGTACCTTCTATTCACCTAAATCTGCTGCATGTACACTACTTAGGTTGCTGTGCATATTAGAGATATTAGATGCAATCATCTAGGATGTAGCTTATACCATGATATAAGTTTTAAGTTAAAGTTTTAAAAGACATAGTGTCTAGAATCTCATGTGACCATGATATAAGTTTTAAGTTAAAGTTTTAAAAGACATAGTGTCTAGAATCTCATGTGGGTATACATGCATATATAGGACAGAGAATCTTGGATTCATTCGTTGGCCGAGAGGATCCCGACATAATCGGTAAGTAACCTTTCATTGTTTCCTCTCAAGTCTTTGAGAGTTCGATTGATTACTTTCTTGAAATTCCTGCGAGTTAGTTTCCCATGCTAATTGTATATCTTATCACTTTTATAATATTCCTATTTGATTCACCTCATGCATGGGCTCGTTGTTGATTGGTTAATCATTGCTATCCTAATGTTGTTTATTTCAGTTTTATACCTTCGATATCCTTGAATGATTTCATTGCAACAATTCGAATTGATTCGATGGTTCAACTATTGATAATGATAGTATTCCTCTCTTCGTTGATGCTTGATTGTCTATATTCATGGATTATGCCCTGTGTGAAGTAAGCTTCACCGGTGGGTGGTAATGTTATAGTGTCCCGGTGGGACAATGCCCTGTGTGAGGACGCTCACCGGTGGGTGTATAAAAGCATGCGCGGTTTATTGATTATCCCATGATTGGGGAGTTTGGAATCCTGAATATTAGACCTTGATTATTCATCTTTACATGTTATTTCACTTCGGTCAATGATTACGATATAAGAATAGCAACTTAATGTTGAGATCCCGTTGTTCAAGTTTGATATCTATGTCTATCATTTTCATTCGTTCCCTTGGATTGTACCCGAGATTTTTATGGTTACCTATTGGGCCTTAGGCTCACCCCTATGTTTCTGAATCCACTCGCAAGTCATACAACTAGCAAGGATAAGGGCATTGCAGACCCTGAATTTGAAGATTAGCTCCAGAGGAAAATCTTAATAGGGGTTAATTTATGTTCACTTTTGTAGTACCTTTGACTTATAAAACATGTATTAATTTTGTAGCCACTGCTATTATTGTAATATTTTGTATTACCCTTTAGTTCTCTTCTATTTTGGTATTCAATGGACTCTGCTGTCAACCTCGTGATCTTGGGTATTGCATATGCCTCTCTACTGCTTTATTTTTCGCCCTTCAGTATATCTATGTTGTGATGTGCATAAAGATTTAGCAGGTCGACCCTTCTTATTACAGATAGGTCATGCTCAAATTTTTATGTACCTCCCAGAGGAGGGGCGTTACACAGTGGTATCAGAGCACAGGTTGACACCTTAAGAGTCCTACATTGAAATACCTAGGGGACGTAGGGATCTTTCTAGTCGGTGTCAAACACAAGTCATGGAGGAATTATCTTTCCATGACATTCTTGTGATATCTAGATTTCTATTAGGTTGGTTTTGTACCATTGGAGGCTGATAGGTTACTTCTGGTAGGAATGGCAGATTCAGATTCGAGTGTTTCTGAGATGGAAGGATCCATTAGCAGCGGGGAGGTGTGGTCAACACTTTCAGAGGATTGGGAGATCAGCTCTGAGGAGACTGACCCGGAGGAGACATTTGGGGAGAGAGTGGATTACTCTTCGATTAGCCATCACACTCGTGGGCAATTGGCGAAGAGTGGCGAGCTTGAGAATGAGGACCTTGAAGAGGAGGACTCTGAGGAGGAGGACCCCATAGAGGAGGATTCCGAGGAGGAGGACCCCGAGGAGGACCCTATAGAGGAAGACCTCGAGGAGGAGGACCCCATGGAGGAGGATCCCAAGGAGGAGGACCCCGAGGAGAACCCTATGGAGGATGAGGATCCAGCGGAGGAGCCTATGGAGTGGGAATTTGAGGTAGCACAATAGCCCCTACTTGATGAGTTCCAAGAGGGAATTCCACTTGGATGAGAGCTTGACCTGGATGAGGAGGATTGGATTTTACAAATGAAGAAGATATTTTCAGTCTTAAGTTGCACAGAGGAGCAAAAGGTGTCAATTGCCGCCTTCATGTTCAGAGGGGAAGCTGAACATTGGTGGAAGACAACCTTAAGATTAGAAAGGGCTGCCCAGAGACAGATTGATTGGGATAGATTTGTGGAGCTTATGAATAAGAAATATATCCCGGAGAGTGTTAGGGATCAGTGGGCTATTGAATTTCAAGGTTTGCAACAAAATAACATGACGGTCCAAGAGTATGAGGCTAAGTTTACTCAACTATCAAGGTTTGCTCCACATTTGATCGCTGAAGAATCAGATAAGGCTAAGAAGTTTCAAAGGGGACTCAGGGGAAATATCAGAGGGAAACTAGTGGCCCTCAGAATCAGGAACTACGCAGAACTGGTGGAGACTGCGTTTGAAATTGAGAAAGACCTGCTAGAGTATCAGGAGATCCGCAATAAGAAGTAGAGTTTAGTTAAACGCCCACGAACAGAAGGAGGTCCCACAACCGATAAGTCAGCATCGAATCAGCCCGGGAGGTCAGCGACAGCAAAATTTCCCTTTCGTCGTGATCGAGCAAATCAGCCAAATAAGTCAGCAGCGTGCCCTAGATGTGGCAATCATCACTCTGGATATTGCAGACTTCATCGTGCATGTTTCGAGTGTGGTCAACCTGGGCACTTCAAGATAGATTGTCCAACCTTGAGGAATCAAGCAATAACAGAGCGAGCACCAAGAGGAGATCACGCGGCTCGAGCTAATGCCTCACAGCAATCAAATGCTCCCCAGCGGAAGGCTCAGTCCAACCAGAGTGTGCAGCAGAACCAAAGGAACCAAGGAAGAGTTTTTGCCCTGACAAGGAAGGATGCACAAGCATCACCATCTGTGGTGGAAGGTTTTTGCTCTGACAAGGAAGGATGCACAAGCATCACCATCTGTGGTGGAAGGTACAGTTCCCATATGTTCATTCACCGCTCATGCACTTTTCGACCCTGGATCTGTTCGCGGGAAAAATTGTAGCTTTCATTGATTCCATTGCACACTCCTTGATAACAGTTAATCGGTTACAAAGATCCGGTCTTTTTATAAGATCCGGTTACAACAAAATCAAAAAAGAAATAAAAATTACAACTTTCTCCTTTTGTGTCGAACGAATCGCGAGCTCCTGTTTTGCGGTCACTCGCTTTTGTGGGTTCTTCGCCTGTCGGATCTACACGATTTGATGGGTATTATTTCGCGAATGAAATAATAGCCGGGGGGGATTAATTCACCAAGGAAATAATCGCCCTAGTTCTCGGGATCAAAGGCCAAGCTTTGATCCGGAGGATGACTACGTAGATCTGAGATCCGGTTCCTCTCGAACTCTTGCCTTATTTGGCGTTGGCGATCGCCGAGCACCGGATCTGGATGAGCAAGTCCTCAAAGTCCCAAAGCTTTAATCTTTTTTAGTTCTGAGCCTTGAATCCAGCAGAGCTTCGCCTCCAAAATTTCCCACCCTCCAAAAATGAGCCAAGGCCTCTTATTTATAGGCTCTCAGATCTGTGCCTTGGCACAGATCTGGGCCGGCCACCTATAGGTGGCTCGGCCACCTAGCCACCTATAGGTGGCTAGGCTTTGGCCGAGCCACCTATAGGTGGCTCGGCCACCGAGGGTTTTGCCGTTTTTTTCGGTCTCGTGGTTGATTTGGACTCTGATTTGTTGATCTGAATCCTGATTTGGCAGTAAACCCGCTTCGTTGTTGATCCGGACTCTGATTTGACAGTCCGAATCCTAATATGGCAGTAAATCCGCCTCGGTGTTTGAGTTCAAATCCGTTCTATAGTTGGATGACTCGTTGACTCACCGAACTGTTGGCTTGATTCCACACGCGAATGGATGCATTCTGTTGCTTACGTGCGATTTGTTAACCTCGTCGCCTCGTTAATCCACTTCGTTGCGTGTCACTTGGCTTCGGCGTTGTGGACTGACGCTCGTGTTTGGATACGTCGCCCGATGGTTCGTCGGTTTGTGCCGAGCTGTGCTAAGGGACCTATAAGCAATTTTATACGCCTACAACTGCATAAACCCTGCCCGTGGCTGAAGACTGCTCTGCTGCTGGAGATGGAGAATATGGGACAATCTTCCCCTGAGGAACCTCTTGAACTGCTTGAATCTGTCCCTCAGTCCTCTGAGCTGCTGGCGGTGCCTCAAGCCTGTTCTGCTGGCCCTTGTCGGAATTTTTAAACTTGAAGTTGATTCCTGATTTTCTGATCTTTAGCTCGTGTTTGCTGACCATCGATTGTTGGCGTTGAGTCTTTATTTTGCGACGCGTTGTCCGGCGTAGTGTTATTGTTGAGTTATCCTTATTAGAGTATTAAGAAGCAGTTTATACTCGTATACTTTTCGGAGTATTGATTCTTTTGTTGCAACGCATTGATCGGTGTTGACCTAGGGTTACGCGTTGACCGGCGTTGACCCTAGGGTTTCGAACGTCGTACGTTGACTTTTTGATCACAACGTGTTGATCGGCATTGACCGGCGTTGACCAGCGTTGACCCTAGGGTTTCGAACGTCGTACGTTGACTTTTTGATCGCAACGCGTTGACTAGCGTTGACCTAGGGTTACGCGTTGACCAGCATTGACCCTAGGGTTTCGAACATCGTACGTTGACTTTTTTGATCGTAACGTGTTGACTGGCGTTGACCTAGGGTTACGCGTTGACCGGCGTTGACCCTAGGGTTTCGAACGTCGTAGGATGCTCAAGTCACGAGACTAACTAATGAAGCTGATGCGTCAGTGACTCTCGCATTTATAGAATTTTTGGCAAACCCTTAGCCATCAACGGGTTTGATGAGCCTTTACCGACTACCGTTTGAGTCGGGCTAGCATGCGGATTATCTAAATCCGTTCCGCATGTGACGTTGTGCTAAGAGAGTTAACACTCTTAGTGCTACGATATTGAATACGTAGACTTCGTCTTTCTCACGGGAATAGACTACCCGGCGACGCGTGTTAGGCGTTGACTTTAGGATTTTTGGCTAATCCCCAGCCTTCAACGGATTTGATTAGCCTTTACCGACTACCGTTTGAGTCGGGCTAGCATGCGGATTGACGAAATCCGTTCCGCATGTAACGTTGTGCTAAGAGAGTGAATTCTCTGAGACTTTGTGCTATGATGTTGAATACATAGGCTTCGCCATTGTTACGGGAATAGGCTACCCGGCAACGTGTATTAGACGTTGACTTATCCCTACTTAGGCTTCGGGATAAAAATACCCCAGACTGGTATTCTGGTGTCTTTTTCAATCGGTAAAAGACTAAACCGGCGACACGTGTTAGGTGTCGACATATCCTTTCTTAGGATTCAGGATGACATTCCCCATGCGTGTAAGGCATGGATTTTGGTGTTATTAATAACAACCTGTCACAATGTTGAATATGTGAACGGGTGTTCTTTTCAACGGTTTAAGAACTAACCGGCAGCGCGTGTTAGGCGCAGACTTATCCCTGCTTAGGATTCGGGATAAACTTCCTAGAATGAATCCTAAATTGATAGGATGAATCCTAGATTGATAGATTCTTAGAAAAGGTTGGTGCGGGAAAGGAAGAATTTTATATTCTATTTCCCGGTCTTCTTTTAGGGTGAAGGCGAACCCGAATACAAGGAAGGAAGAATTTTATATTCTATTCCTTGATTCTGGAAAGGAAGAATTTTATATTCTATTTCCAGCGCGAAAGAAACTAGAAGTGGGATCTCCACTCCGAGAATCTGGAAGATCTAGATAAACTTACCTTTTATAGGCTTAGTTATCTAATCGGAAGATGAGTTTTTTCGTTTATCGAAATGAAATTTCAACTTCGGTTATGACCATGAGAAGGCTTAACCAAAGAGAAAAAGAAGGGAGTTCTTTCGTTTATCGAAAGGGGACTCTGAACTGAAAGTGGACCTCTTGTTCATGGAAAGAGTCAAGAGGGCCAGAAAGACATTTTTGGTGGACTCACTGTCAATGAAATTGATCAGTGAGGGATTTTGGTGGTGAAAAATGATTTTGGGTTATCCTCTAGAATATTAAGTGTAATATTCTTCAAGGAACTTCCCGGTAAATGAGTTATCCTGAATGTACTAGGGATAGTACTTTTTCAGGAACTTCTCATTTATTGGCATTAATTGCCTGGTGTCTTCTTGAGTAATCAGGCGATATGCGTCGTTTGAGTAGACTGTGTTTATCACAAACGGTCCTTCCCACTTGGGTTCGAATTTACCTTTCTTCTTGGAGTTGAGGATTATCGGTCGGCGAGCAGCGAGGACCAGATCTCCTTCCTTGAAGCTTCTCTGTCGGACTCTCTTGTTAAAAGCCCTAGATATTCTGGCTTGATAAAACTCAATTTGTTGTTGAGCTTCCAAGCGCTTTTCATCCAACCTCTCGAGTTCTTCGAGACGTTTTTGATGTTGTTCTTCTGTTGTCATCTCAGTTGCGAGAGAGATCCGAAGAGATAGGATTTGGATCTCCAATGGTAGCACAGCTTCACATCCGTATACCAACGAATATGAGGTAGCTCCCGTAGGTGTGCGTATGGTAGTGCGATAAGTCCAGAGTGCTTCACCGAGTTTATCGTCCCAGTCTCGTTTATTGGTCTTCACGAGCTTTGATAGGATCTTAATGATCGTCTTGTTGAACGCCTCAGCTATTCCATTCGCAGCGGGATAATAAGCTGTTGACGAAACATCTTGAATTTTGAACTTGTCACAAAACCTGACGAAGGCGTTGCTTATGAACTGTGGACCGTTGTCATGAATGATCCGTCTTGGCACGCCGTGTCGGTATATGACATGATGCTTGATGAAATTGATGACGTTGTTCGTCTTCACTTCTCTAAGCGGAATCGCTTCAGCCCACTTTGAAAAGTAATCCGTGATTGCAAGAATGAATCGATCACCTTTGACTGA